TCCAAGCGTCATCTTGATGGACAGCTATCTGGGGATGGCTTTCATGAGAGGTGATAACAAGGCGGTAACACTGATGAGTGCTCGTTATGTGCCTGGCACGGCACTGAGTCACTGACATAAGTTAGGTCACAAAGAACCTTCATGACATTGCCTAAGTAAATCTCCTTTCCACAGATTGGGAATGCAGAGCTGAGGAAGGGAAATGAGATTTCAGAGGCAATGGCATGCATACCCAGGTTTGGGGGAAGCCTGAAGTTTATATTAGTTTTAAAGGGGAAAAAAAAAAGGTCATATTATGAGTACAAAATTTGGTTTAACGCCCTAGAGGGGGTCGGCATACATAAGGAATCCCGAGGTAGGAGCTTTCACGGTAACCAACTTGTGTCTGACTGACAGACCCCGCTGAGCTGCAGAGACAAAGGAATCTGATGAACAGAAACGTGAACCGTAAAGCGAAAATCATTCATCTTTAGAAAACCTTGGCTATAACGAAGTGGCACATGGCTGAAATAATTTCTTTTTAAATAGATCTGGTTTTTGGTTTAGCATGTCAGGAGAGACTGGGCAGGGGGGAAGCAAGTATACAGGATGAATGAGCAATCTTTGAGGAAGAGCCAAGCAGTCATTTACGTGGTCTGAGTCTGCAGAATGCAGAAAAATTCTGAGTTGTGCACTGCACGTTCCTTAGGAAATCTCTGCCCTTTTGGGTGCAGTGAAAAGTCAGAAAGTTTAGACACAATTTATTGGTGATGCCTTGTGAATAAAACTTATGTGAAAGCAGCAATTGCTTTTCTAAACACGATGCCAATTTTTCTTGAGTGGTTTCTCCACTGTTAGCGAAATATGCGATGAGGACTGAACACATTCCCTCTTTTGAAATCAATTGTTTGTTATACCAAGAAAACTCTTTCTTATCCAAAATGAGAAACTTATTTTCCCAGAAGGAAAGAAGGTCTTTCTTTTTTTTCCCAAAACACATCTCCTAATTTTAGAATTCAGTTTAAGGCGACTCTTAATTCCATCGTATCAGAGCATGGCTCTGAGAAGAAGTTCAATTCATATTTTATCTTTTCTCAAAGTTTTATGAAACTTTTTTTTTTCACATGAGGAATTTCATGAAAATTTCTGATGAAGAATATGGGAAAGGAGCTCTGAACTGTGATTTCCTAAAAATGCTGAGCTGTCTCATATTCTGAAATACACGTGAATAGAGCTGCATACAGCTGCCCAGGTTGTGCACTACACAAATCCAAGGGCCACCATTTACACAAAGTGCCGAGCGCTGCCTGGAGCAGGACAGTGCAGGGCCCCAAGGGGAAGAATGGTTGCTGCTTCTGCCAGAAGGACCTGCTTCGAAAAATGAAGGGGGCATGCCAAGAGATATATGGGCCAGCTGGATGCAAATGGCTAAATCTGGGACAATCTGAACATCAAAATAAATAAGGACAGGAATAGATTATAACCCAATGATTGAAGTAACAATCCATATTCCGTAATAGGTGAATAAGCAAATAAATCAATGGGAGAGAAGGAAAAGCTCTCCTTGCAGTACAAAGACAACAAAGGAAAGAATCAATAGTGGGGTCTGGTTAGAAATGGGCTGTTCTGCCCCATCTTCATGGTAAAAACCGAATCAGACAGAAATCAATAGCGGCACAAGGACAGGGGTGGGGAGGTTTAGAGAAGGACCAGTCCTCCTTTCAAATATCCTAGTAATCACTAAGTCATCCTCACGAATGGGATTAGTGCCCTTATCGAAGAGACAGGAAAGAGACGGTAGAGTCTCTCCACCAACTGAGTACACAGCGAGAAGACCACCACCTGCAAACCAGACACCAGACCCCGGATGGTTCCTATCTCCAGAACGGTGAGAGATGAACTGTTTATAATCTCCCCCATCTACGGTATTTGTTATAACAGCCTGAACTAAGGCAGTCCTATTTCAAGGTTTTTTTTTTCCCCTTTAAGATATTTTCTTTCACGTGAGGTAGTATGATCTTAGAGTCTATGTTTCCTTTTAGCTTTGGCAACCTCAAATTTCAACTAAAAAAAGAATCATTTCCTTTTCTTTTTAATTTTATTTTAATTCCAGTATAGTTAACATACAGCGTTGTATCAGTTTCAGGTATACAATCTAATGATTCAACACTTCCATACATCACCCAGTGCTCATTATGACAAATGCTCTCCTTAATCCCCATCACCTGTTTAACCCATCCCCCTACCCACCCACCTATCCCCCCTACCCACTCTACCCCATTTCCGAGTTAAGTGAACCACCATCTTCCTTACAAATAAAAACTAAGCTGCTGAACATATCATATCTTTCTTCCTAGTGGAAGCTGAATGGCTGTTAATTTAAAAAAAAATGTTCAAGACAATAAAACACAAATTCTTGGGGAAATCTTTTCTTCTGATACCGTGAATGTCCAACCTGGAAGAGCAGGTCCCAACCTCAGCTGCATAATTTAACTACATAATTTAAAATCCTGATGCCCAGCCCACACTCAGGACTAGTTACAGCAGAACCTCTGGAGATGGAGTCGGGGCACTGGTCATTTTTAAAGCTCTCCAGGACACTTCAATGTGTAGCCAGGTTGAGAGCCCTTAAGCATCTACAGCAATAAAGAATTATATCTTTTGTGGACAGATCCAAAGGATTCACAAAGGTTTTTTTTAGAATTAGTCTCACTGCCTTAACTATAGAGAACAAGCAGATAGCCAAAGGGGAGGCGGGTGGGGGATGGGAGGTGGGTGGGGGAGGGGGAAACAGCTGAAAGGGGATGAAGCGTACACTTAGCATGATGAGCAGTAAGTACTATCTATGGAATTGTTGAATCACTATATTGTATACCTGGAACTCACATAACACTGTATGTTAGCCATGCTGGAATTAAAATTTTTTTAAGTTAAAAAAGAATCAGGCTCACTTGTTGAGGAATGTATAGTCCAACTAGCAAGAGAAGTTATATGTGTATCCAGGAAAAGGTAACTGAATGAAGGCTGGGGTCTGTGCCAAATGAACGTGAGACACCATACTTACACGTGGAGACCCCACCTGCAGAGTGGGGACGCCCGCACCCTCCTGATGCAAGGACAGGCCCTGATGATGATAAGAACAAGGCTGAGGAAGGCCACTCCGGCCAGGGAATCGCATGAAAGGAAAAGTAGCCGGTATGTCCGGCCAACAGTGAAGCAATCAGGCTCACTAGAGGGAAGGTTTGCTCTCCAGGGCAGAAAAGGTGAGTGTGGAGAAGCAGACTAGAACCAGCCCCAGGGGGCTTTGAGAAATAAGCCAACAAGTCTGGCGGCAGTTTGGAGTCTCTATGGAGACTAAGGACCAAAGGAAAGCATTCCTTTGGGAAGACCGCATTGATAAGCTATTCATGGTGAGATCAGGGAAGACTGAAATCTCAATCTACGATGAGAAGAGCAACGGTATATCAGGTAAAGCTGCGTATGTGAGATCAAGTACAGTCTTATACCTTCCTTTACAGTTTTCCATAAAAGACAATCACAAGAGTTTGGGCTTCCTAAAAATAGCACAGATCTCACCTGTCATGGGACCTCCTGGCAGGAGAGACTGGGCAGGCCAGAAGGTTGGTCCCTCTGCCCTGGCTCCCAAACAGACGGTGTAATACTTTCTGCTGCCATATGTTCCTCCTTTTTCCATGAGTGCAACTCCTATGGTCAGCAAATGTAACTCTAGGGGACAAACTTTCAGGCTAGAGAAATTCTTTCTTATAATTTTTTTTTAAGAAGAATTTTGAGAAGCTGGGCGATCCTGAGGTCATACTGGCAATTTCAATCTCCTAGGGATCAAAATGGTGGCCAAACTATTCATTTATATAATACATATGAAACACTTATATTTGTGCCATTCTAGCCAGTGGAACCACAGTGAGGTCCCTTTTCCTGAGAGGCAGGCACCTCTCTGGGCATTATAAAGGTTTCACTCAAAAACATAATGGCAGTCGGGGCACCTGGGTGGCTCAGTGGGTTAAGCCTCTGCCTTCGGCTCAGGTCATGATCTCAGGATCCTGGGATCGAGCCCCACATCGGGCTCTCTGCTCAGCGGGGAGCCTGCTTCCCCCACCCCTGCCTGTCTCTCTGCCTACTCGTGATCTCTGTCTGTCAAATAAATAAATAGAATCTTAAAAAAAAAAAAAAACATAATGGCAGTCTAGGGCTGCGCAACTTCTAAGTAATTGATTAAAGTGTTCTCTTACAGAGAACTCAATAATTACAGAGAAAAAAAAAATCAAGATTCTTTACATAATGATCTAAACGCCACAGAGATAAATACAGGATCACATGTTTGTTTGTTTTTTACAATGCATTTGTAAGCCAGCACTACTGAACCTGTATTTAAGCCACTAGATGTATCCTGAACTCCTAGACAGGGCTGACACATAGAACACAGTAAAGCTGGTTCAATGGCATCGTTGAACTGAATGGCGTTCAAAGTGAGGTGAAATGGCAGCTCTCACCTTGATTTATTCATTAAAGCAGAGAGGGCATCTTCACTACCTATATCCCACATGCCTTGTTGCAAAGAGGGCCATGCCCAGGTATGCGAGCTTCCAACCCAGTATTCCTAAAGCCAGCCCACAATGCTCATCTGCCTAGTGGCATCTTGTGAAGCCATTCCCCAAAGCAACACCCAAGTGGTGCCCAGGGTTACTCAGACACGGCAGCTCACATACGGATGCCATCCCAGGACGACAGAGACGTTCTCTGTGTTTGTAAAAGGTTCATTTTATAAACGTCTGGTAAGAATCCACATATAACTACATGCAATTAATCAGAAACTGCCTATGACAAAATGAAACTGAACTTTCACAGATAGATAAAATAACCACAGAAACGCATTTGATTCTTCTTTTTCTAAGTCATCATACTCTAGTTCATAGACAAGTCCTTTTTCTCATTCAGGAGGGGGAAATTTGCATATTCAAATCCCTTCCTCTGCCTTTCTCACCCCTTGAAGGGAGCTGTACCTGCATAATGTACTGGGATCTCTATCTTTGGCCCAATGACGTAGTGTCCCTCCTCCAGGCTGTGGGCAGTGATGGTGGTCCACTGACGGCACGAATGAATCAGAAGGTATTCGTTTTCCCGCAGCCCTTCAATGCATTCTCCTGAAAGACATAATTTTGTTTAAGAAACTTAGAATTAGCATCTGCTTGCTTCATACTCTGCAGTAAAATCTCCTTAGTTAAAACTTCACTAATGCAGAAATCGATAGTTCATCCCAACATAACATAAGCTTGCCTCCAAATGAGCACAAAAAAGGCATTCTACAACAAGCGGACAACGGCACACAGAATTCCCTAAAAATGTTTCCACTTACCTGCGAAGATATTCTGAAAACCTCATTTTATCTAAATGACTGAACTCAAGGATAATAAAACATTTATTAAGTGACAACAATATGTTGGGTACCACCCAGGTGCTTTGCATGTCTTATTACATTGGGATGCAATAATATTATGAGGTAGGTATTGTTCCTTCTTTACAGGTGGGAAGAATCAAAGTTCAGAATGTTAAGTGATAGGTCTGAGCTTACAGATTTAATCAGAAGGAAAGTGAGGATTCAGGCCCAGCTCAGACTGACTCCAATCACTAAAATACGACTACCAAAAATATATAATAAACTTCTCTATTGAAACAGTACTTGAGGGGCGCCTGGGTGGCTCAGTGGGTTAAAGCCTCTGCCTTTGGCTCGGGTCATGATCCCAGGGTCCTGGGATCGAGCTCCGCATCGGGCTCTCTGCTCCGCAGAGAGCCTGCTTCCTCCTCTCTCTCTCTCTGCCTGCCTCTCTGCCTACTTGTGATCTCTGTCTGTCAAATAGATAAATAAAATCTTTTAAAAAAATTAAAAAAAAGAAACAGTACTTGAAATTAAATGCTAGTATCTCCTTTGAAATTGTGTATGTTTTGCCAGTTCTTTCTGGCCCCCTACCAAATTTCCCAACTAAAAATAATGACACTTTACAGCATGCAAATGAAATTATATTTTTCATTTTGATATTTTCTGAGGTACATTTTTAGCATCTGAACCAATGACAAATAAATTATTTCAAGAGAGATATTCGTCCCCTGAAACTTAAAAAGACTTTTTTTTTTTAGATGCTGAAACGATCTATCTCATTAATCCCAGTTTAGTCATTTTCAATGCTCAGATAATATCTGAAAAGGCTCATTTCTTTATACAGAAAACAGTTAGCCTTTCTTATTTCTGATGGTTATTATACCGCAATAACCAAGAGTCAAGGATTTAACCGGGTGTTTTGAATGGAATTCAAAGTTCACTAAAAAGTTTCAGTACTTTTGCAATATAAAAGAAGTCGAGGAAGCTGTAATGATCAATTTGGTTATCACAATCATAAGCCATCAAATCTGTTTCCAATCCAGTAAGGCCACGATCTTTCAAATAGTCTTAAAGAAAGAATACTTCATCTTGGTCACAGGAGACACAGATGGGGAGGAGGGATGAGAAGGATGGAAAAAAAGCAGTAGATCTGGAAGAGGTCCCCTAGCAGGAATGAGAGGTCCTACTCCCCGGGGAACTTCCGAAACCAGACTCCCCTTCTCTTCACACTTTGGGAGACAAGGTTCACACTGTCCTCCCGAGGAGGCTGCTGGTACTTAAGGAGTGCTCTGCAGACCCCCTCAAGCCTGCTGGAGCAGGAAACAAAGATCTGGAAGCGCTACTCCAAAGGAGGAGTCCTCTGGTTTCCCCTGAGGCTCCCCACCAGGAGGTAGGAGGGGTTACAAGCACTGGCCATGAAGTCCGACAGATTTGGTCTCGTCAAAGCTCTGTACCCCACCACTATGCGGTCTTGGACAGAAACTTTTCCCTTCCACGAGAGGGGAGGGGCCATGAAGATGCACTGTGACAGCGATGGGAAATATGGCTCACCAAATCTGTCACATGATGTTAGGAGGGATGAGGAAACATCAACTATTAATTTTATTTACTGTGCGCTTTTTCTCCCTAGAATTCCATCCTTATATAAACTTCATAATTTAAGTCCTATTATCTTCCTACAGGTGAGGAAATGCCCTAACTTCAGGGCAGTTAGGAAACGTGCCTGAGGCCGCATAGCAGAAACGGTCCCTCTACGTCTGTGGGGTCCCTCTATGTCTTCCCCTGTTCTTTCAACACCACACTGACTTTTGCCTTAAAAACTGCCAACCATCCTCTAAAAAACTGACCCTGAGCTCCAAGTCTCACTCAAGGAAGGAGGGAGACAGTAACAGCAACAAAAATGAGTAATGAAATTATGAATGCATTAGAAAGTGAAAGGAGCTATGGGCAAAAAGAAAAGTAAAGGGTAAGAGGAGCAGGAGGACTGTATATAAGAAGAGTAGTTTGCAAGGTTGTCATTTTAAGGTATCTTTAATTCATTTATCCAACAAACACGTATCTCCTTATTTGCTTAGCTTTTTCTGAAAACAGCTTTATTGAGGAATACGTGATCTACATATTTAATGTGTCCATGTCGAAGACTGGGAGTCATTTATGGAGGATCTTTCATGCAACAACCAATGGAGGAGTGGGCGAAAATGAAAAGAGAGCTTGGTCCCTGCATTCAAGAAGCTGACATCCTCTTGGTGAGATGTGCTCACATGTGATTTGAAGTAAGGTAGGACATGACTGGTGCTAGGCAAGAGGAATAAAGAATCTGGAGTGGAGACAGCGACTTTGGCAGAGAAGATCAAGAAAATGTCAAGAGGAATAGATAGCTCTGGGGCTGGTCCTAATTCTCTGGCAATGGGAGGAGCCAGAAAAGGGTCTGGGGATGAAAGACTGGCCAAAGCTCTGCTTTAGGAGAATTAATCTGGCAGGACTATAAATGCAGGATTGGAGTAGGGAGAAACCAGAGCCATGGCAGGTAGGTAAGGAAACTCAGAGGAAAAACACACCACCATTCAGGGAAAAAGAAAACTGTCGTTTTCTGCAACTAAACTGCTCTATCATAAAACTGTTTTAATTTTATTCCACAGTGGGCTCTAAAGAGGCAGCCAAGAAACAATTGCAGTCAAGTTAATCAAAATGAAAATTTAATGTTAAGTCCTACGGCTAGCTGTGTAAACACTCTTGTCAAGAGAATTCAGGACGATTTTCAAAGCTATAAAGTAGTAAGAAGCCAATGCGTGTTTTTGAGCTCACGTCTTTTTGATTTTTTTTTTTTTTTAAACAACTGAACCATGTGCCTGCTTTAGGCAAAAGAAATTTCACAAAAATTGTCTGGAAATAAAATTTAATATAATCACTTAAAATGCCCTAAGGTAGGCCACTAATAGAGACACTACATTAAATGAATCCCTAAAGTAAACATTGTTGTGATACATTATCCTGTTGCTTAACTACTATATATATAACATGTTAAAACTTATATATTTAGCTCAAAGATGTAGTAACAAGAAGTCTAAAAGAAATGGGTGTTAAATTCCAAAATATGTTAATATCCCTCTGAAATTTCCCCAGATCCAGAATGCTTCTGGGATATACTTTCCTTGCCTGGTTTGGCCTTGATCCTCTCAACATTAAGTCTTACACACTTGTCAAAATCATTTTTAATCCTGGGAAAACTAGAACCCATGAATCCTTCAAAGGAAGTCTGCTTTAAACAAAATCAAATTCAAAATTTAAAATGAAATTTTGTAAGCTGGACACGCACAAATCCAGCTGGTTTGGCTGCGGGGCCACTGTCATCTCCTGATGCTCCTTTCTGGTCTCTCCTTGTTACCTTCACGGTTTTCCCCTTTTACACAGGAGCTGTAACAACTGTTAACAACTGTAGGAGTTAATCAAGGTTCCACTCTCAATCTGTTCACTGTTTCTCTCTCCTTTACCATTTTATACACCCCTCAGGGCTCACTTAGTTATGGACAACTTGCATATCCACGCTCTCAGCTACCAACTTGTATTCTGAGCTCTTCATCCAGACTTTATCTTCTAACCTTTTCTACCTGGATGTCTCCCTACCATTCATTCAGGCATCCTACATTCATCCAACACACATAAACGGAGGACCAGCTATGTTCTAGAACCTGGCAATATAGTACTGAACCAAGTTCCTGCTCTCATGGAGCTGACCTCTTGGCCGGGTTTTCAACCCTCTGTTCTTCACTCCGTCAACTCATTTAAATACTGCTGCGGATAAAACTTCCAAGAATACAACAAGGTTCATCTTATTCTTCTACTCACATCTGCCTTCAGGGGTTCTCATTCATACAGAACGAGGCTTTAAGTCTTTGGCTCAATACTCAAGGCCCTCATGATCTAGCCACAGAATATAAGACCTATATCCCCCACACAACACACGAGAGCCCAAAGGACCTGCTTTCTGTGCCACACACAGGGCTCAGTATCACTCCCGCGGGCCCCTCACTTTCATTCCTTTGCCTGAGCCTTAGCTCCCAATCCTTATTTACTCACTACTCATCGTACTCATTCTTGAAAGTGCCACTTTCACAAATATCTTCCTGATACAAATGCGAATATTTTTCATTCAGACTACAGTAATTTTGTAGTTTTGCTAATACCCTATGCTGAATATATAAATTTAAGAGCTCAGAGCAGGAGGAACTTAGACTGCTGTTTTAATGTTTGTGTATATTTAAATGACAATAAAATTAAGTTAACAATGTGGGAATTACAGGCATTTTTTACCTTCTGAAACTGGTTTACACATTTGTCAATTTTGAGAATCATGGTCATAAGAGTTAAGGAAGAAAGATAATTCAGGATTAAAAATGCTATTAGGTAAGATCCTCTCCAAATTGGGGCACCTGAGTATCTCAGTGAGTTAAGCATCTGCTGTCTGCCTTGGGTTCAGGTCATGATCCTGGAGTCCTGGAATGGAATCCCACATCAGGCTCTCTGCTGAGTGGGAAGCCTGCTTCTCCCTCTGCCTGCCCCCCCACCACCATGCTCACTCTCTCAAGAGTGCTCTCTCTCTTTCTCTCTCAAATAAATAAACTCTTAGGGGGAAAAAAAAAAAAAAGAAAAAGATCCTCTCTAAACTACCTTGTCTTACTTGCATCCACAGCCACACAAGGGAGCTGCCTGGCCTCACTGCCTCATGGTTCTGTTTTGCCTTTTTAAATATTCAAATATAATAATGTT